CATCGTACATGCTGGGCAATCAGTCTACTGTCTGAGTTAAATCCCTAGCCTGCTTTAAAAGCTGAGTGTGGTGGCTCACCTGTAATCCCAGTACTTAGAAGGCTGAGGCATGAGGTTGCTCCAAGTCTGAGGGTGGCATTGGTCTACAAATTGAATTCCAGGCCAGTCTGGACTAAGAAAGATTCTGGCTCAAAACAAAAACAAAAACAGGTGTGAAAAAATGAACAAAACAAAACAACAACTGTGGTGGTGTATACCTACAATCCTACTACTTAGAAGGTTGAGGCAGGAGAATCAAGAGTTCAAGGCCAATCTGGGCTATATAAGACACTGTCTCCAAACAAACCAACCCCCCAAAGTCTTTTATAATGGTGTTGGAGATGTATTTCAATGTAGAACATGTGTTTAACATGCAGGAGACCCTGGGTTCTACCTCAGCACCATAAATAAATAAATGAATGAATAAATAAGTCAAAGTCCATAGGTTGTGGAGAAAATCAACAGAAGATCCACATTTCCTTTGAGGAACAGCTATCCGAATATGACTTGTCATAAACATGAACTCGCCTTCTCCCCCTCCCCCTCCCCCCCTCCTTCTTCTTCTGTCTTTTTGAGACAGGATCTCCCTTCAGTCCCAGCTGCCCTGGAATTCATTATGTAGACCAAGTTGGCCTTGCCTGCCTCTGCCTTCTCAGTGCTTGGAATAAAGGCATGTACCACCATGCCTAGGTCCCTAACTCTGTAATTTTTAGACCTAGGGTCTCACGTAGCCCAAGCTGGTCTTGAACTCACTGTGTAGTCAAGGATGATCTTGAACTTCTAATCCTCCTACCTCTACTTCTCAAGTGCTAGGATTGCATATTCTGGGCGAGTCAACCCCAGGACCACATGCATGCTGGGCTGGGCAGTTTCTTTCTTTCTTTCTTTCTTTCTTTCTTTCTTTCTTTCTTTCTTTCTTTCTTTCTTTCTTTCTTTCTTTCTTTTCTTTCTTCTTTCTTTTTTACTTTCTTTTTTTCTTTGTAGGTACTCTTTCAACTGAGCTATATCTCCAACCTTAAGATGAACTCTTTTATTTTATTTTATTTTTTATCTTTTTGAGACAGGGTCTCTCTGCAGCCCCAGATGGCCTTGAACTCACTAGGTACACCAGGCTAGCCTTGAACTCACAGAGATCCTCCTGCTTCTGCCTCCCGAGTGCTGGGATTAAAGGCATGCACCACCACGCCCAGTGGAAGCACACACTTTTAATCCCAG